CGCTCCAGCGACGCGAAGAGCCATACGCGTCCGAGCGACGGGAACGCCGCCGCGAAGTCGAAGCTGGTAAAGACGGGCTTGTGCTTGTCGGCCTCTGGACGAACTCCGGCGCGGCGCATCTCGGCGTCGAGGTTGACGATGTGCTGGGTGAAATTGCGGCCCACGACAAAGCCCTGCTGCGAGTAATGAGTCCGCTCTGCCACAGCGGATTTGATGAGGAAGTTGGCCGCACCTGCGATGGCCTTGACATATGTGTTCTTGAGGGACAGCGGGCGTGTGTCCTCAGGGAGGCGGTCCGTGGTAAGCTCGCCCGCGAGGTTGTCGCCCTTCGGCAGGAACGCGAAGTCTGAGTCGTTCAGGTCGTGGATGAAGTCAGGGTTGGAGCAGAGGTGCCATGCAAGGTCCTCCAGCTGGTCCAGAGACGCGCCCACGGCAAGCCAGGCGCGGCACGGCAAGAGGTCAGGCCCAGGCGCAGACGGCGCTGTGCGAAGCAGAAAGCCTCTGATGTGCGCCTTGGTGGGCGCGCCGACGTCGATGATGGGATGGTTGGGCATGTGCTGGTCGATGCACTGCTGGACCTTGTCGACGTCGACGTGCTTGCGCTCAAAGACGGGCCGCCAGTGGGCGCGGAGAGCATCCGCCATCGCACAGCTCTCTCTGGCTACCCCTGGGCGGCCCTCGGGATCGGTGGTCTTGATTCCCTGGGGGACCAGGCGGCGCTTCCAAGGGGCCCAAAGCAGGGCCCTGCGCTGGGAAGACCGGGTGATCTTTCTGAGCTTCTTGGGGCCGATGGCTCCTGAGGAGCCTCGCGGCAGCTGGGCTGCACGCTGAGCCAGAGAGCGCTGCCGAGCCTCGAAGTCACGGTGCAGCGCGGCAGACTTCATGGCGAACTCGGCCGCATCCGAGAGCGCGATGTGTCCGTCGTCGATGATGATGTACTTGGCGCCAAGCTCAGTGGTGGACTGCAGACGTCGTGCAAGGCGAACGTCCTGGCGCCAGACCGCGCGCGAGATCGAGCGCGCCGTGATCACCTGGCCGTCGGAGTGGTTTGACTTGCCGATCTCACCGGCAGCGCGGCTGACCCAGTCATCACGGACGAGCCGCGCGGCCTCGACCATGAGGGTCTTGTGCGCGCGCCAGCGGTTCTCGATCGTCCTGTGGCGCGTGACGGTGTGATCTAGCAGCTGCTGGAGGTACTTGGCGTACGATGGGTCGCGGAAGATCGCGGGCGGGATCGCCTGCTCCTCGATCGGCGTCTTCGGCTTGATGCCGATGGAGTACGAGACGATGGCGTGGTCGCTGAGGAGGCATCGCGTGCGACGGCAGGCTGATGAAGATCCTGTCGATGGCCGACGCGGAGTAGTCAGACTTGTTGAAGCGCGTCGGCAGGTCAGACTCGATCTCGAGCATGCTGTCGAAGATGGCCTTTCCAGAAGGGCTGTTGCTGCCGCGCGCTATTGTCCAGTGCCAGGCGTGCATGCTGTGGTTGCGGTTGGAAGAAGCTGTTAGGCGGGCGGCTGGCCGTGTTAAAGTCGCCCAGCGCGAGGAAGGCGCGGTGCTGGTAGTTGGCCTCCGCCCACGCGCGGTGCAGATGCCATGAGCGCTGAATGCGCTCGCGACCCCGCGCGTCAATCTCGCGATTGTGGACGTTCATGATGACCACGGAGTTGCGCGAGGTGGCGTTGGTGATGGCGACCGCCTGGACGCGCCCTTTGACGATCTCCTCGTGGCTGAGGATAGGGAGCCGCGCGGGTTGGAAGAGCTCGAGCTGCGCGTGCGAGAGCCACGGTATGAG